AGAATTTTGGGGGTGCCAGAAAAGAGAGCAAGAAACTGAAAACCTATTTGAAGAAATAGTGACAGAAAACTTGGTCTTCTCCTCGGCTGGCAGTGGCTGCTGACCTCCAGACCTGAGCCTCAAGTCCTGGGTCTCAAAACAACTTGACCTTTTTCTCTCTTTGTCCCTACAGATGAGTTCTATTCATTGGCAGAGATGGGCAGTTACCTCATTTCCCCCCTCTCCTTTCACTTTTTATAATGGAGAATTTTCAGCATATACAGAGGTAGAGATGTATATGTTGTGAAAGAAATAGACTTGCAAATCCAGGAAGCTGCCAGCTCAGAGCCCTGCCTCTCTCAACCACAAAACTGTCACCATCTAACCAGCAACCTCTTTAAAATAAATACATCAGCCTGGCTGGTGTGATTCAGTGGTTGAACATCAATCTATGAACCAGGAGGTTATGGTTTGGTTCAATTTCCAGTCAAGGCACATGCCCAGATTTCAGGCTCGATTCCCAGTAGGTGCATTGCAGGAGATAGCCAATCAATGATTCTCCATCATTGATGTTTTTATCTCTTTCTCTTCTTTCCTCTCTAAAATCAATAAAATCAAAAAAACAGCCCGAGCCAGTTTTTCTCAGTGGTTAGAGCATTGGCCCTCAGATTAAACATTCGTATTAAGAGCACATACCTCAGTTGTAGGCTCCACCCCCAGCCCCAATTGGGGCACCTGTGGGAGGCAATCGATTGATGTTTCTCTTTCTCCCCTCTCTCTAGAAAAATCAATTAAAAGAATATCCTCGGCGCACTTTTGGCAGAAACAGTGGGAGGAACCAAGATGGCAGCATAGGTCATGCCTAACTGCAGTTTCGCACAACAATTTCAAAAAATACAACTAAAATACAAAATGGACATTATCCAGAACTACAGGAAAGTTGACTGACTAAAAATTCTACAACTAGAAGGAAAGAGAAAACCAGAAGGAAAATCAGAGAAGCTGTAAAAGCCTAAAGTACAGAGAGACAGTGCGCGCGTGGGGAGAGGACGGAGCCGGAGAGGAGTGGGAGACTGAGTGCCTGGCTGGCGTTCCCTAGTGAGAAGGAGATAAAAGCTCCGGACTGTGCTGAACCTCAGTTCCGACAGCACTGAACCCCAGTTCTGGGCGAGACCCTGGGGACCCAGGCTAATACAGAGGGAATTTAGGCTGTAAGGCAGAGCCGCAAAAGGCAGTCTCAGAGTAGTGCACATTACGCGCAGAGGACAGACTGTTGACTCTGCTGCTAGATTGCCTTAGCAGGGAGGAAGACAAAAGCTCCAGACTGTGTTGAGCCCCAGTTCCAATTGCACTGAACCCCAGTTCTAGGCCAGACCCTGGGGACCCAGGCTCATACGGAAGGAATCTGGGCTGTAAGGTGGAAATTCAGGAATAGTGGCGAAAGGCAGTCAAGGAGGCATACAAGTTCTGCACAGAGGACTGTTGCCTGTGCCACTGGATTACCCTAGCAGGAAGGAGACAAAAAGCTACGGACTTCTCTGAACACCGCTTCCAACCCCAGTTCCAAATGCACTGAACCCCAGTTCCATGTTCATTGGGAGAGAGACTAGACTGGTAGCGCCAAGAGGTGCTTGCAGAGAGTACCAAAGGACACTGAGGAACACTGAGACTCAGGAACGTCATAGGGCGGGGCTGACAAAAGCGAGGGCTGTAGGCTCCACCATGAAACTCCGCCCCATCCAAGCTGAGCACAGAGGCTTTTACAATTTTCCAAGTCTAGTCAAATAAGGCTGTCTCCCAGCATAGACACAGCTGATCCTCACAGCTAATTGGCCTGGAGGTAAGTTCCTCCCAGTGACAGCAACAACAATCAAGACTTAACTACAACAAGGCTGTACACACAGTCCACAAAATGGTGCACCAAGAGTGTCTACCTCAGGTAACTGGGAGGCTGACCCACTGAACTATGTAGGACCCCTTAGCACACAAAGCCACCCTATCAACTCAGGGAAGCAGCGAAAATGCCGAGAAAAGGAAACAGAGAAAGAAATGGAGGACAAAAAGCGCCTGGATAGAGTTCAAAACCACGCTTATAAAGTTTTTCAAGAATTTCCTAGAAAAGGCCGATAAAATAAATGAAACCTATGAGGATATGAAAAGGGATCAACTAGAAATAAAGAATACATTGTCTGAAATAAAAAATATTATACAGAGTCCTAAAAACAGAATGGAAGATAGCAAGAATCAAGTCAAAGATTTAGAACACAAAGAGCCAGAGGACACTCCTCAGCAGAAGCAAGAAGACAAGAGAATCCAGAAAGTTGAAGACAATGTAAGAAACTTCTGGGACAATTCAAGCAAAGCAACATCAGAATTATGGGGATCCCAGAAGAGAGAGAGCAAGATATTGAAAACATACTGGAAGAAATAGTGACAGAAAACTTCCCCCACCTGGTGAAAGAATTAGACTTACAAGTCCAGGAAGCACACAGAACCCCAAACAAAAGGAATCCAAAGAGGACCACACCAAGACACATCATAATTAAAATTCCAAGAACAAAAGACAGAATATTAAAAGCAGCAAGAGAAAAGCAGGTAGTTGCCTATAAAGGAGCACCTATATGATTGTCAGCTGATTTCTCAACAGAAACCATGCAGGCCAGACGGGAATGGCAAGAAATATTCAAGATGATGAATAGCAAGAACCTACAGCCAAAAATACTCTACCCAGTAAAGCTATCACTCAGAATCGAATGCCAGTTAAAGAGCTTCACAAATAAAAAAAAAGCTAAAGGAGTTCATCACCCCCAAACCAGAATTATATGAATTGCTGAAGGGGGTTCTTTAGGAAGAGAAAGATAAAAATTATGAACAACAAATACGTAACTACCAACAAGTGAATCTAAAAACCAAGGGAATTAAAAAAATCTGATGAACAATATTAACTGTTGAATATAATAGAATCAGAGGTATGGAAGGAGAGTGAACTGATGATTCTCCGGGAAAAGGGGAGTGGGGGGTGCGGAAAGAGACTAAACATAAACTGTGCACCTATGGATGAGGACAATGGGGGTGGGGAAAGGAAAAAGGGTGGGGTGGGAACCTGGTGGAGGGGAGCAATGGAGGGGGAAAAAATGAGGAACATTTGTAATAATATGAACAATAAAGATTTATTTTTAAAAATAAATAAATAAATAAATAAAAGAATATCCTCAGCCCTAGCTGGTTTGGCTCAGGGTATGGAGTCGGCCTGCAGACTGAAGAGTCCCAGGTTCGATTCCAGTCAAGGGTACATGCTCAGGTTGTGGGCTCAATCCTCAGTGGGGGGCGTGCAAGCAGCCGCCAATCAATGATTTTCTCTCATCATTAATGTTTCTATCATTGATGTTTCTATCTCTCTCTCTCTCTCTTCCTCTCTGAAATCAATAAAAACGTATTTAAAAAAAAAAAAAAAGAATATCCTCACCCTAACCGGTTTGGCATCAGCCTGTGGACTGAAAGGTCCCAGGTTCGATTCCGGTCAAGGGCATGTACCTTGGCTGCAGGCACATCCCCAGTAGGGAGTGTGCAAGAGGCAGCTGATCGATGTTTCTCTCTCATTTGATGTTTCTAACTCTCTATCCCTCCCTCTTCCTCTCTGTAAAAAGTCAATAATATATATATGTGTGTGTGTGTGTATGTGTGTGTGTGTGTGTATACACACACACACATAAAGAACATCCTCAGGAGAGGATTAACAAAAAAAATTAAAAATATAAAAAATAATAAAATGGAAAAAATAAATAAATCAGCCCTGGCTGGTATGGCTCAGCTGAGTGTCATCCCATGTACAAAGAAATCATCAGCTTGATTCCCAGTCAGGGTACATGCCCAGGTTGTGGGCTTAATCCCAATCCAGGGTATGCAGGAGGCAGCCAATTAATGTTTCTATCTTACTCTCCCTTTCCTCTCTCTAAAATCAATAAAAACATATTTTAAATAAACAAATAGATAAATAAAACTAATACTGCTTCACCAACTGAGTGGTTTATGGATTATACTAGAAAAAAAGAGATTCTACATCTCAACAATGGCACCCTGCTAGATCCATGCAAATAATTTCACTCCATCTTTAAAACGATCTTTCAAGGAGACTCTGCTCAGCCCCAAGATCAAACCAAAGCAGCTGAGGGAGCTGCAGGGCCTGTTAGGTCACCAGCTTCGAAACAGCAGGGTGGAGACACCCATCCTGACTCTTCCACAGACATCACAACCTTGCCCTGCCATGGGCTACTGCAGGCTCACGGGGATGTCATGGTGTGTAACCAAGGTGGTAAATACATTGCTAAAGATGTTAAGAAACAACACAGCAAGATGCCAACAAACAAACATGCGAGTTTACCGAGGAAACTGACAAAGATTGGGGTTTCTAAGAGTGGGATATGCAAAGCAGGAAGTAGCCACTGTCATCACTCGAGTTTGTTCCAGACCCTCAATCCAGCATGGAGAAAAGGCCCATCAGAGACAGACTGAAGGGTACCTCCCTCCTGGCTCCAGACCCTCCAATCCCATACCAGGAGAAGGCCCACTAGAAACAGCAAAGGACACCTTCCTCCTGTTCTGTCAAAATTGTCACTGACACACCCTGTGTTCTTCCTTGCACTCTCATGGACTGGGCTTTTAGAGGGCTACCGGGGATATGGAGGAAAATCAGCCCAAGCGGCTGTGGCTGAAACAGCACCAAATCCAATAGGAAGAAGACAGAGATAGATGGAAGAGGCGGAAAACAAGAAGAAGAGAAAAGGAGTTCCTTTGTCCATCAATTTCCACGAGAAGTCGAAGTTCATAGAGACACCAGGACCTATCCAGGCCACACCCAGACAACATGGACTCCTCTAACCAAACTCTGACACTTTTCAAGTCTTCTCAAAATGCTGAAAGGGAACACAGAAGGACTGGACTGAGAGAAGGTGGGTGTGCTGGGAAGACAGGAACAGGCCCTGGCCCCAGGCCAGACCCACCCCCACAGGTGACACACTCACCGGATGGTCTCGATGATTTCATGAGCAGCATCGTGGTGTTTGTCCTGAAAGATAAAATGACATAGTTAGAGCTGACTGAGCAGTCTCTCTATACTCCATTGATGGCAGTTAGGATCCAGGACTATAGGATGGGGGCACTGTAGCCCCTGGGCTTTCCCATTTCTGTATTTCCAGACCCAGTAAGCTCTCAAGCTCCCCACTCAGGCAGACTTCCCAGAGAGTGCTGCAGGGTAATTAGAATGCTGTCCTGGGACCCCTGCCCACTTGGGACATGCTGGCCTAGAGGAGATCCTGACCCTATACTTTCTCTCCCCAGCAGGCAGTAGGGAAAGGATGAAGTCTATGCCCCTGACCCACCAGTACCCACTGGCACTTCTCCCACGGCTTGGATGCTATAAGCCCGGCTTTGAGCTACTGAATCTCCCAGGCCTCTGTTTCCCCATCTGTAAAATGGGAAATGCCAATAATAACCATTATGAGAATGCATGTGGTCATCCTCCTGCCTAGAAGAAGACACCTCCCACTTCCACTGCTGGCCAGGACTGTGTCCACTGTGTGTGTCGGGGGAGAGGGTGTGAGGGAGGGGTCACCATGGCTTCTTCCTCAAAGAGAGCTCAGGGATCACTCCAGGCCTTTCACCAGGGTATGGGCAGCAAGCTAATCCAAAATCTTGAAGAAACTAGGATCAGAACCACTGAGTAGTCCCCTCTAAATCTGGCCTTCTCTCATGTAAACACTACGCCTTCCACATTGCGGTGAGAGCCTGTACAGAAGGTCAGCAAAGAGGATGGGCCCTGGAGGGAGAGGCCTGCCAACTGCTGCTCCATGGCAGTAACAAGGCCTCTTAGCCCAGACCACCATTTCCACCACTTTACAACAAGACAGTGACCATGGGTAGAATGCCTCACATTCAATAACAGAATCAAAACAGCTCTTTAGATACCCTTGAAACTTAAGTCTTTTTTTTTTTTTTTAAATAATAGCTCTATCTATATTAGTAAAAGAGGAATATGCTAATTTGACTGGGTGACCAGCCATCGTCCAGATATCTGACTTCCTTTCATACAAAGCCATGGTGGTGGGGGCTGAGGCAGAGGCAGTTAGGGCGATCAGGCCAGCAGGGGAGGGCAGTTTGGGGCCATCAGGCTAGCAGGGGAGCAGTTAGATGGCTATCAGGCCAACAGGAGAGGGGTTAGGTGGCGATCAGGCCAGCAGAGGCAGTTAGTTAGGTTAGGAGCAATCAGGCAGGCTAGTGGTTAGAAGCCAGTGGTCCCAGATTGTAGAGAGTGCAGGCCAGGCTTAAGGACACCCCCACCCCCTCATGCACGAACTTAATGTCCCAGGCCTCTAGTTGAAATATAACTGACAGAATGGAGTTCACTTGTTTCAAATACACAGTTTAGTGATTCTTAGTAGGTTCAGTGTTGCGCAACAACTGCACTAATTCCAGAATATTCCATACCCCAAGGAAGCCACATCCCCATCAGCAGTCATTCCAGCCCTCCCAGCCTCTGACAACCACTAACCCATTTCATGTCTCTGTGGATTTGCCTATTCTGGATATTTCACATAAATTGGATCACACACCATGTGGCCTTTTGTGCAAGGCCTTATTTTTTTAAGGCACAAGGAAAAAAAAATCCTTTTAGTGTTCAGAATAATGTCCTCCCATTTACTAAGAATCAACCAATAAATATTAAACTGGTATCATTTAAACAAGATGGGGACAAGATGAGAATATACATCTAGAAAGAAATTCATACATGAGTGTTCACAGCAGCATGATTCACAACTGCCAAGAGTGTAACGCAGCTGCCAGCCATTACCACACCACAGTCCTCACTACATTAACTGTATTGGCCCACATATGCACACAGGCCTGCAAAGGCACAGGAGCCTGGAATTTGGTCTCTTCTGTGATGAGAACTTGTGCTTTCTCAGCTTTAAAATCAAAATAAAGGCAGAGAGAAGTTGACAACTGTGCCCTCTGAGGTCTCAGAGTGATGCTTTTAGGTCCAGGACCAGGCCAGTTTCTAGCCCTGAAAGGTATAACTTTAGAAGCCCTGGACATTATCAATGATTCAGAAGTTCTGACCTACTGGCCATGACCTCTTTTACTTCCCCAGAGACCTTCGGAGGAGAGAGATGTCAGACCCGGCCAGGAAAGGTCAGCCTGGGAACAGCCCTGAGGAATCCTGCACTGATAGTCCAGTCCTCATCTTGTTATGCAGGGACAGTCCCTCACACTTGCCCCTCCATAACAGGAGCCTTGGGCCCTAGATTGATGGCCCAGCCTTTGTCTCATTATGCAAGGACACACCCACAATGCCTCCTTCACTGCCCATGGTCCCAGCCCAAGGTGGCCCACTGCTGCATCAGAGACTGACCCATGTTCTACTTACTACTTGTACCAGAGCACCCTAAAGAAGCAGTGAGAGCCCTAACCAGTTTGGCTCAGTGCAATGGTCGGCAAACTCATTAGTCAACAGAGCGGCAAACCGTGGCTCGCGAGCTTCATGTGGCTTTCAAGCCACAGTTTGCTGACCACTGGCTCAGTGGATAGAATGTCGGCCTGCAGAATGAAGGTCCTGGGTTCAATTCCATTCAAAGGCACATGCCCGGGTTGTGGGCTCGATCCCCAGTAGGGGGTATGCAGGAGGCAGGCAATCAATGATTCTCTCTCATCACTGTTCTATCTCTTTTTTTCTGAAATCAATTAAAAAACAATTTTTTTTAAGTGGCTGAGAGTCTTCACATAAAAATCTGTCTAGTGGAATGTTGGCCAATGGGAAAGTTGAGTGGTGGGTACCTGGGGTTCACCAGGTCTGCCCACTTTGGGAATCATGTGAGAAGGTCCACAGTAAGTGCAACTGTTCCATCTTAAACTGCGCAATGCACAGAAGGCAGTACATCACACCTTGAGATGACACCAAACTGATCCTTATGGTACTACTCACTTCCCCAACTTTGGGTGCAAGGCTGTGGCTTATTCTTCCAGACACGGAACCTCATGTGCTCAGGAGTGTATGCAGGGGGCACTCACAGAGGGAGGGTGGAAGAGGGGGTGTGGGGAACCCAGCTGTCACTTTCAGCAAGTGCTGGCTTCCTCCTTCACCAGGAGGACAAATATGAGAACAGCACCCATGGCAACAACTTACAAGTGGGGACATGGCTCCAGCTCTGCCACCAGCTTGTCCCCCCATCTCCCTCTGAGGAGTTTGGACAGGAGGGTCTCCCAGATCTCCCTGCAAGGGCATGAGCCCACCGTTCTAAACATTTACACTCTATTTATCCCAAGTCCACATGACTTCTGGGGTCTGTGTACCCAGAGCGTACAAGGTGAGAGGCAGAGACAAGAAACTAATGAAGCACACGTACACCAGAGGCTCACAGTGGACACTATAGATGTGCTGCTGTATTAGATCCATTGCCAACTCCACTCTCCTCACACTCGTTGCAACAGGATGATACTTGGGGAATGCCCCGGGTTCCACAGGATCACTTACAACTGGAGGGCGGGAACCCAGGTCCTCACGAGGTGACCAGCATCAAAATCCTGCGCAGGACTTTGGAGAGATGCCTGTGGCCCACCCCTCAAGTGGCAGATCTGGTAGGTCTGGAGGTCCAGAACTTCCAATCCTAACAAGTTCCCAGGGACTCCCTTCTGATGGAGCAAAAGCTGGCAGGTGGGAAAAGCATTCTCCTTTCTCTCCTAGTGGGAAGTGAAGATAAATGACTGAAAATACCACAAAACAATCAAGTGGACTACCTAGGCAGAGGGGCAGGGAGTGTCATGCAGTGAGGGCTCCTGATCCCTGATCTCTCAGGGTGCTGCCTTCTTTTCTGGTGGCTCCACACAACTCTGGTGCCCTAGGGTGGGGGTGCCAGGTCACTTCCATCACACATGGTCCCTGAAGCCAAAGCAAGTTTAAAAAAAAAAAAAAGGTCCCTGGTACAGACCATGTGAATTCAGGATAGGCCATTGCTGACTATACCATGAGCAGTCACTGCAGAGGAGTGATTATATGGACAGTGGGACCAGCTGAGGCAAGCACATGGAGAATATGATGTATGAACAGAGTTTTAATACATGGAGAACAAAAGAGACGAGGCAGGATGACAGCACATACAGGTGGTCTCTCTGGCTGGTTTTGTTTGTTTGTTTGTTTTAATGTATTGGTTTGAGAGAAAGAGAGAGAGAGAAGAAGGGAGGGAGGGAAGAAGGGAGGGAGGGAGGAATAGGGAGAGAGAAAAACAGTGATCTGTTTATTGTTCCACTCATTTGTGTATTCATTGGTTGATTCTTATATGTGCCCTGACCAGGGATCAAACTTGCAATCTTTGCATCTCTGGGTGTTTTTTTTGTTGTTGTTTTAAATATTTTTATTGATTTCAGAAAAGAAGGAAGAGGGATAGAGAAACATCAATGATGGGAGAGAATCATTGATTGGCTGCCTCCTGCACATACATCCCCTACTGGGGATCGAGCCCACAACCCAGGCATGTGCCCTTGGCTGGAATTGAAACTGGGACCTTTCAGTCCAGTGGTCGCCAACCAGTGGTCCACAGACCATCGAAAGGTTGGTGACCACTGTATTAGTCGATAGGCCAACACTCTATACAAACCAGCTAGGGCTCTCTGGGTGTTTTAGTGGCAAGGTTTTCATGAGCAGAGGTCTGGCTGGAGGAGTGACACAGGAGGTGGTGCACGTACACTGTTAACAGGCATCCAGAAAACTCAGTCCCAAAGGAAAACCAGAGGATGTGACCGCAGGCTGCGGGGAGGGGCAGCAGGTCCAGAGGTGCCTGTCCCACTTCTGCCTTTTCTTCACCGGGCCACTCCCCACTTCCTGGTGTACAGGTGCCCCTAGAGTTGGACTGGGTGGCAGGCTTCCAGATTAGGCTAAGTGCATTATTTGGGCCTGAAGCACTCTGCTGCTTAGATGGGAGCCAAAGTGCGTAATTTATGGTTTATCCTTTAGATGGTCAACTCAAGTATTGATCATGATGGCACGTTAACTAGTTCAAAATATGCAGGACCCCA